TCTTAGTTAATTAGTTCTTACACCTATGCGTGGCAAATATGGTCTGACACGAAATGTTTCAACTATCCTGCGCTCGCAAATATAGAGCCAATTACTAATGGGATATTATAGAAAAATTCACTGCTAAAAACCGATATCGCACGAATCCCTCGTAATTGAATAAAAATAAGAAAAAAAGAAAACAGTAATGTATTGTTTTTTTTATCCTGAGCGCACGCCCCAGAAAGCCATTTCAAAGTCAACTGTCAGAACTGTCAGCGCGTTAGCGAATAGGAACAAGGTCAGTCGTACACGTTTGAATCTTATTATCAAGTTATTATAAAGTTATCGAAGTTTGATAACTTTATTTGTACCTTGTGCTTGTTTTTACATTTGTTTTCAAAAATTTCAAACAAGCTTCACGCGATCTTAAGAATTATAGTGCTATTTCACTGAATTTACATGCCGTTTATCTCATCTTTTTTCAAATTTCCAAATCATTTGCTCAAGAAGGAAAATGATTTACACCTTTTACATCTTTGCTGGCAAAACTGAAAGAAATGAAGTATCCAAGCGAAAGCATTGAAAATTTAACATCGCTATTAAAAGTATTTAGTTCTTCTACTATATATATGACAATCGACCTTGGCTCTTCTTCCGTTGTCGCTTCTTCGTCTCGCTCGGTTGAACTATTGCTTGCCATTTTCTAGGCCGTGTTCACAGGATTTTCTTGCTTTCTCGTTGTGGCGAGCGAAAGAGGTTTTTTTATGCCTCTCCAAGAATTTTTAGTTCATTTCAAGATAGGGAAGAACTCTGGCTCACTTTGAAGAACGCGTTTGTTCGTTTTTGGCTCTTCAAAAGGTGACCAACCTGTTTGGTTTTCTTTCCTTTGGCTTTCTTCCCTCGTCTCTGCCATTTTGTCTTTTTTCTTCAATGCGTTTTCTAGTACTTTTGAGTGTGAGAGGTTTCCTCAAATTTTCTAAAAATTTTGATTTTAATTCAAAATTTGGCAGACATTCATTTTCTGTAAATTTGCTCTTTTACAACGTGGTATTTTTCGTAGCACGAGTTGCAGTTTTGTTTTCAAGAAGGTAACAATTTTTGTTCGCGACCCTCGTCAGCAATATCCCTTAATGCACAAGTGCAATTCCACGCTAAATATCTTCTCTTCGATAGTTTAAATTGATGTTGACTATGTGTGGTATTAAAGACTTGATTAAATATAGAACCTCTGTAATGTGTTGGTCCAGCATTGGGTCTACATAAGTATAATCAAGTGGGAAAGAAGCATCTCACCATACAAATGAGCATGGTGAAGACCATTTCTGTTCTCTCTCTGACATTTTTAAACAGTGCTCAAAGCTGAAACTGAGATTTAGGACAACTTCTATTTTTAAGAAATTACAGAAAGCAATAATGAAACAGTACTTTGGCATCATTCTTAGGTATCATTCTCCTGTGGATGTGAGGCCCACTTTTAATGGACCTCTTCTAAAC